AAGGTGAATTCAAGGTTCCTTTTCACACATACTGTAACCGGTAGTGATTATGATTAAAAAAAATTAATAATTATGTGATCAGTATCGGTGATCGGCTCTCATGGGTTATCGGAATCGGCAGAAAAAAATCTGATCGGCACATCTCTAATATAAATCTAAAGTAGTTGTGGGTAATAAGTGCAGTGAGACTCCAACAAAGTGGCCAAATATTAAGTTGGATTAGAAAATATTTATTTCAGTCATTAGAGACGTGGCTTGGAATTTGGATAAATGACTTGTAAATATCTCTGGCCTATGCAACCATCATGTCATCCATCAACAGATGTGTAAAATATCAAAGTGTCTGAAACATGTCAACTACTTTCCACTGAGTAAATTATAAATTAGCAGGATTTTCTGTTTGAAGTTTCCACAATCAGCTCACACATGGCTGCTTGCATGAAAGGACAGCCATGCATGCACATACATGGTTGAGGCAGTCTGATCATTCATAAAATTCATAAAATTTGAATTCATAAAATTTGTAAGGCAATAACAATAATAACCAAAGTTTCAGCTTGATCAAGCCAAATATTGTAAGTTGAGCCACAATGCTTTCAGAGTTTTCATAGTACAGACATAACACAAGCGGGAACACTCTGGGTTTCTCACCAGCTGCTTATGTCTCAGGATTGTAGTCACACTGTAGTCCGACTTCGTGTCTCTTACTCTCCACACAAGATTATGTGCAGATCCCCTGGCTGCTTTTTCTTTGTCCCTCTGCACTGCCTGTTTTTATCCCTGGCTTCTTCTCTTCATCCCCTTCCCTCTCCCTCTCTGTCTCTCAAGCATGCTAATGTCCTCCTTGTTGCCTAGGTAACTATTATGGGACCCCAAAGCCTCCAAGGCAGCCCATCATTGGGACAGTGACTCTCAGTGATGCGGGCTCCCATCCGTCTACTCCGAAGCGCACCAAGTCCTACCATGACATGCAAAAAGTCCATGTAGTGCCTGCTGACGACGACGATGACGACCAGGCCACGGAAATGAACAACAGTTTTACAGGTGAGGGCATTGCTGCGCCCCTCCTGTCTCTCTGTGTTTGTCAAAGTGCATGATTGTTCGGCTCTCTTGGTCTGTGCATGTGTAGTGTTCTCCATCTCTGCTGAGTTTCCTAAACAACTCGTGCTTCTTTTGGAATGTCCTTTAAGTGCATATGTGCAAGAACATGATGAGGACTGCAGAAGGAGAGTGTCGGTGTTTGTATGTTTGTGGTTTGCTTCTCTGTTGTGGGATTATGGGTGTCTGGCAGTTACATCATGTTTTTGTGATGAGGAATCTTTTCCTCCCAACACTGCCATCTGTCTGTGAGGAGGTTGTGGTGGAGATGAATTCCACACCACATCACTCACGTCCTTATTCATTCTGAATTTATTCTGCCCCAACCTTTGTGTTTTTCTAAATTCTACACAATAAGTTGACTAAATGTGTTGCATTTCTGCATCTGGTAACAGAAGAGTTTTTAATGTCTAATGTTTTACAGACTGAAACTTGCAATCAATTGCAAAGATAACTGCTAAAAACCAAAATTTCCAACTTTTTTTTTTTTTTTTTTTTTTTTTTTTTTCTTTTTTTGACATTCGAACCAAAAAGCTTTTCGTTTTTTGGGTTTTTTTTTGGGCAAACAAAAAA